AGTTAAGGAATTTTAAACAACAAATTTTAACTGTCCGCAATTCTTTCATTTTGAAAGAAAACATGCATTTAGCCAAGACATGAAACAGAATCTGAGGTTCTGCAAGAAACCATTCATTATAAAACCATACTGCAACATATTGTTGATTGTTTCTTCAGATTTTAGAATGTTTCAGTTGGAGAGTCTAAGTACCACATTAAGTGCAATGCCTTGAATTGGCAGAATGCTTGGAAAAATCTGGTTTCGGTTTAGATTTCCACATACCTTTCTACATAGCTCTTTCTGCCTGTGCCATCCTAAGAAACAAGTGTCAGACACATTTTTTCTGGCAATTCTGCAAGCTGTGCAACAGAAAAACCACTGGATTTGTACCTTCTGACTACAATCAAAACAGTAGTATAAACTGGAGGGGACAGAAGTCCATTAGAGGACCACCAATGCAATTTGCTATGCACACCACAACAAGTGTGGTTATGTCTTATGGGGGAACAGGAGCAGAAGCCAGCTTTCCTCCCAACTTTGAAGCTCAAGGGAAGGATCAGCAGTTACAGAGAAATCCGTAGTATCTCTCAAGCTGAGATGAGGATTGGAGGCTGTCTGACAGAGATTTGGTCTAGGCTCCCTGAAAGGCCACACAGAACTAAACCAGCCAACATCTTTACTCTTCACCAGTTTACTCTGGTCTTTCCTTCTATATAGAACATGAAATCAGAGAAGGCGGGCTCTCTTCAGAGATACTGTACCCAATTTGACATCCCCTTTCCCATCATTGTTTCACTTGGAAAGATGAGGGGGACTTGCTCCATGTGAAGGTGGATTTATAGATAGGGCAATTGGAATTTTTAACTTGGCCAATAAGTCCAAACACTGCACAAAACAAGTCCCTTAGTAGTACCTGGTAAGTGCTGCCATTTTGTTCATAAAGGACAGATGAGGTGGCCTTTGATTTTTATCTTGCAGAGCACTTTATACGTTTTGCCGCAAGACTGCATACTCAGATTAACATTGAGGTTTTTTCTGTAATAGAACTCGTGCTTTTTCATGCATCAATGAAATATCTGGAGTTATGAATGAGAAGTGAGACAGTCAAACATGCTGATGACATCAAACTATTTAGGAGGCTTAAACAAAGCAAAGAGCTTCAAAAGGATCTGGGTCAACTTTGGGAATGGACATTAAAATAGCAGTGTGAGCAAGTGTACAGTGATGACTCTGAGACAAAAAAAATCTTGCTAGTCATTGACCAGGGCAGAAAATGACAGGCAATTCAATTACAATGTTGACCCAGTTGGGTTTTGATGTTTAAAAGGCAAATCTATATTAGGTGTAATTAGAAAAGAAACTAAAAACAAAGTGAATATTATCACTATGTCTTTAAATAAATCTCTGATACGTCCACACTTGTCATACTGTTCTTGCTGAAGGAAGAGACCAGTGTAGAAGAAGTGCAGAAAGTGCAACCAGGATGACAAAGGAGGTGCAGCACCTGCTCTGAGCACAAAAGCTACAATATCTGCAGCTTAGCTTAGAAAAGGGAGATGTATGACAAGAATGTACAGTATACATTTCTCCATATCACACATAACACCTCCATATCCGTTTTTCTCATACTAGCCATAAAGAGGATAAATGTTTCCTCTGTCTCTCATAACACCCAAGGTCATCCAACAAAGCTGAAAGGCAATAGTATCTGGGGGACATTAGCCTCTTAAAAAATGAGTACAGAAAAATATGGAAAAAATATTATTTTGCCCTTTTATTTTGCCTTTTTATTGTATTTTAAATGTTGTAAGCTGCCCAGAGACCTTCGGGTAGTGTGGGCGGCATATAAATAAATAAATA